CCCCACACCCACAGTCAATCACATGGTCCAATCTCCTTCTTCCATGCTGGCATCCATGCCCAGCTTCTTCCAGTCAGGTGTGAAAGTGCAGATACAAAGGATGACCTTGGCTTCTAGCAAAGAATGAAAAACAATACATCCCAAAATCCTACTCCTTTTAATCCCCCCTCCCATTGACTATACTTAAAGAGACAGCATAATGAAATAAGAGAAAGTGTGGCAGGCCAAAATTCTAAAAGGAATATAATTGCAGGCCTGACACCCATATCTTTTCCCATGTATCCATCATTATTGGTTCTTCAAAATTTTGTTCCCACTTTATCTAATTCAGTTTCAGAATCTACTTCTATCAATATATTGTATAACCTTTTTATATGCATTTCACTTCGATCTCTAATTTGTTTTACTAGATTATCCTCATTTTGCATAATACCAATTTTCTGGTCTTTTTTCCATCTGGCCTGTAACTGTCCATACTGAAGCCATGTTTGGATTACCTTTTCCTCTTTTAATACATTCATGTATTAAAAAAGGAAATTTTTAATCCATAAGTATGAAAAAAGAATGAAAAATAGAAGAAGAAAAATTATCCAATCCAATTTAAAAAGTAGAAAACATTTGTAAAAATTCCATCGGTAAAAAGAAAAAAAATAACACACTAAGTTTAATTCTTGCTTAATCTCGCCGCTTACTATCTTCTGTCTTCAATTTTAATTTAACTTTTGGTTTTTTGGGGTGATCTTTTCTCTAATAATAAAATTTATCTCACCAATTAGATACACTTTCTCTCCTGCTTTCCTTCCTTTCTGGAGCTGTCCCAACTTCAGCAGCTTTAATGGCTGCTTCTCTGTCGCCGGAAAAAAGATCTTCTCCGGGATCAATCAGGGACTTTGCGATGTCCCTGAGATCAGCAGGATGTGCCCCTCTCTATCACCATCTCTACGGGACGGTTTAGGTCCAAAAGGACTGTCCAGTGGCAGAGATATCAACAGTGATCTTGGAGCTCATCATGATGTCAGCTCCACTTCCTTCAGAAAAGACCTTTTAATAGAGATCTTTGCCGAGTAGATTTTCACTATCATTCCACCATGGACAGGTCCCAAATCACCAGGCTGTGGCCTGTTCGAAATTGGGCTGCGCAAGTGATGGGCAAGCGCACATATGCATGAAGCTCCACATGCAAGCAGAGGGTGCTTGAGTGGAGGTCGCTAGTGCTTGCATGCAAAGCTCCACTTGTGGCAGCAAAGGAAGCTTGCACAGATAGCTCAATTCACGCAAATTGAACTTCTCACATGAGCACAAGTGCCCTCTGCTCAAGCATCCGCCACTCATGTAAAGCTCCATTCATGGAAGTGCCCTCTATTCAACTGCCCTCTACCCGCGTGAGTGGAGCTTTGTGATGGGCACTTGTCCACCACTCATGTGAGTGGAGCTGCAGGTGCAGCCTGGTTTTGAACAGGGAATCCCTGTTCTAAGAGATGGAACAGAACAATACATTATTAATACAGCAATCTTGCTCCTGAACAAAATTCTATTTCTGCCTATTATTGATTTTCCTTCTATCTTTTCCTATGATGCTCAAGAACATCATGGCATGAAGATCATAACCCTCACAACCAGCCCTACTATATGGCAAACAGAAAATCATTACTTCTGATGCCAGATTGTTAAGCATCAATCTGAGTCTTCTGATTCAGAATATGAAGAGCTTGGCCAATCTGATCCTCAACCTGAAGTACTGTAATTACCTGAAGGGAGTAGGTCTGAGGTGATCCAGGCGTCGGTTGAGTCATCTGATCCAGAACCAGAACTAGACTAGGCTCCAAGTCCACCAAACATCACAAATGAAGAACAGGAGTCAAGCCATCTGCCTGAAAAAAGGCAAGAAGCATGGCTCAGCCAACCATAATTTTAACCTAAGACTATCTACTGTTGACCTCACCCCATTCCTAAGAGGTCTGTAAGGGGCATACATAAGCACACCAGTGTGCATAAACGCACCAGTGTGCCTACCGTCCCTGTGCTACTGTCTCCATTTATTCATACCCATTTACTGTGTTCATATTTAGATTTATACTTATACCTGTTATCTTTTACGTTTGACAAACTAAATGAATAATAAATAAACTAGTCAATATTTTTTATTTTTTTTGTAATGAATATTTTATTTTCATTTTCATAACACACACTCACGTGTATACTATACATAACCCGTATCATAAAGCATTAAATAATAATTACATCAGTTCCTCTTGTCAACAATGCCCAGAAAAATA